CGTCTATCCAAAACCGACAACAAAGACTTCAAGGAAATGTCACCATTCGGAAAAAAATGATAATAAATGGACATTTTACATATAAGAAACAATGTGCAACGTATGACCCCGATTCCAACAAAGTTGGGACGCTGTGTAAAATCTACATAAAAACAGAATGAAGTGATCTGCAAATCTCATAAACCCGAATAATATTCACATTAGAAAATAGTAAAACATATCAAATGTTTAAACTGAGAAAATGAACCATTGTAAGAAAAAAAAAAAGGTAATTTTAAAGTTGTTGGCAGCAATACGTCTCCAAAAAGTTGGGACAGGACAACAAAAAGCTGGCAAAGTAAGTGTTACTAACAAAAGAGCCGGAAGAACATTCTGCAACTAATGAGGTTAATTGGTAATAGGTCAGTAACATGATTGGGTATAAAAAGAGCATCTTAGAGAGTCAGAGTGTCTCAGAAGTAAAGATGGACCGAGGTTCACCAATCTGTGAAAAGCTGCATCTAAAAATTGTCCAACAATTTCAGAATAATGTTCCTCAACGTAAAATTGTGAAGACTTTAAATATATCATTATCTACAGTCCATCATATCAAAGGATTCCGAGAATCTGGAGAAATCTCTGTGCCCAGGGACAAGGCCGAAACACAATATTGGATGTCTGTGATCTTCGGGCCCTCAGGCGGCACTGCATTGAAAACAGACATGACTCTGTGATGGACGTCACTGCATGGGCTCAGGAATACTTCCAGAAGTCACTGTCTGTGAACACAGCTCACCGAGCCATCCAAAAATGCCAGTTAAAGCTTTATAATGCAAAGAAGAAGTCATGTCTGAATATGATCCAGAAACGCCGCCGTCTTCTCTGGGCCAAAGATCATTTGAAATGTTCTGTCACAAAGTGGAAAACTGTTCTGTGGTCAGACGAATCGAAATTTGATATTCGTTTTGGCAACCATGTGTGCCGCGTCCTCCGGACTAAAGGGGAGAGGGACCTTCCGGCTTGTTATTAATGCTCGGTTCAAAACCTTACATCTCTGATTTTATGGGGGTGCATTAGTGCGTATGGAATGGCCAGCTTACACATCTGGAAAGGCCCCATCAATGCTGAAAGATATATGCAGGTCTTAGAGCAGCGTATGCCCCCATCAAGACAATGTCTTTTTCAGGGAATGCCTTGTATATTTCAGCAGGACAATGCTAAACGGCATACTGCATCTGTGACAACAGAATGGCTTCGTAGTAGAAGAGTCCGGGTGCTTACCTGGCCAGTTCCCAGACATTTACAGAGTGTCGTTGTAAGAAGAGGGGAGGCTACATTGGGGGTAAACATGGCCCTGTCCCAACTTTTCTGAGACGTGTTGCTGCCATCAATTGAAGAATTACCTTATTTTTGTCCTAAAATGGTCCATAGCCTCAGTTTAAACATTGTATATATTTTCTATTGTGAATAAAATCTGAGTTTATGATATTTGCATATCACTTCATTCTGTTTTTATGTATATTCTACGCAGCGTCCCAACTTTTTTGGAATTGGGGTTTTATTATTTTTATGTGCATTGGAGCCAGTAAAGCATTGCAACTGTGATCAGTGGATGGCGGGTGCGATGCTCTGGCTCCAGCAGACTCTTCCTCTCATCCATGTCCGTGCCAAGGTATGGCCATTCAGCAACATGGAATGGAGGATGTATGAATGAATTACAAGTACGGCGACATCGCTGTCCTTGTATTCCATTAAGAACTACTAGTCCTTCTGTCGTGGTGGCTGATGGGACTTGTAGCTTCTCCATTCACAGATCCTGTCAAAGCAGCGGCAAATGGATGACGCATGAATGTGGACAGAGTAATGCACAGCTGTGCCGTATTGGAGCCTACGGGGAGAAGAACCCTGCAATTCAGGTAAGTGCTGTGGGGGAGAGGGGTTTCCATTTGACCATGTTTCATGTTACACCCCGAATATTACAATATAACATGAAACATGATCAGAGAATTAAACTTCTCCTTTAATATATTGCAGCTTATTGGCCCTCAGATGAAGGAGCGGCATTCCTTTTCATTTTATTCTGGCTTTTTTCCCCTTTTCTTGTAGTCTCTGGGTCCATATTTACCCGAATACTCTCCTCGTCATTCAGTCCCCTCATCTCCTCCCAGTGACATCCCTCATCTGCATCTCTCCATCTCCCACTCTGTAGAACAATCTCCCATTGTTGCTCACGGCTCCTGATTTGCATACACGGGTATGTGGCATAGAACGCATCGAAGCCAGAAGATCAGCATGGCAGAGGAGCCGGGCAACTGGCACTATCACAAAGAGGTCAGCAATGGCAGGTGCCCCTCTTCCCCCCGGATGTCATGGCAGTTTTTGGTTCTGCAGATCTCTTCACCCCACAGAGCAAAGCGGGTGCTTCAGAAATGCATTGAGTGATGCCGACATGGAAGGGACGAGGAAGGGAAAGAAAAGAAGAAGGGAAGGGGAAGAAGGAGAAAGGGAAGAAGCGGAAGGGAAGGAAGGGCAAAAGGAAGAAGAGGAAATGGAACAAGGGAAAGGGGAAGGGGAAAGGGAAGAAGAGGGAAAGGGTAACAAGGGGAAAGGGAAGAGGAGGAAGGGGAAAATAAATAAGGGGAAGAAGAGGAAGGGGAAAAAAGCCATGCTTGTACATGGGGCACCGATTACCCTAAAGACATGACGGTAAATTAAAACATTTTTAATAAGCTGCAAACCCTTTTTTAGGTATCACAAAGAGAGGGAGAGCAGGTTATGTGATGCGGACAATCCCTGCACTGTGGCTGCTGCAAATTATAGAACAAAAGAAACGTAGGCCTCATTCACATGGGCAACAGGCTCCACCCCCGCCTGAAAAGCGATCTGCCTCGGACTGCTTTTCAGAGAGCGGTAGAGCAGCGCCTGCCCGGTGTTCGTGAGGTGATACCACTACCTCCTGAATGCTGTTTTTACTTTTCTCTTTTTTTTCATCCCAGTGGGTATTTTTTATTGCAATACTGCGCCACCAGCACAAGCCCACACGGTTGCTTCACAGTCCTAATCATTGCAATGGTTGTGTTAGGCAAGAAGCATCTCCTGCCAAGCGTGTAATGCTTTCTAAAGTTTGCCACACCCCAGCCTGTGTTTAGTTTTAGGTGGGAGGTTAAGGGGTGGTCAAAATATGGATCAGCCATCTGTTTTAACTACCCCTCGGCCCGATTCCCAACTTAAAATTTTTGTGAAGTTAAAAACAGGATTAAGGTGACTTTATTATGAGATGATGATGGCAAAGCCACTGGATAAAATGCAAATGTTTTATTAAATCCGAAAGCCATGGGTCAAGCATTTTTCCTGCCCACGTTTGAGCGCACCTAGTATGCATTGCTAGGCCCTGCTAGAAACACATGGGCTAAGTACATGGAGTCATGTGCATTACCAGTACATGCATTCCAGAATCCTGCTGCACTCTTTACCGGGTATCCCTGTCAGCGTGGGCGCTTGAAGTGACCGTGGATGGCGCCACCAATACTGAAACTTCCTGGTAACGAGGGAGCCATGAGTCGCCTTCCGGCAAATCAGGAAGCCGGGCGCCATGTAGTGACTTGTTGCCCAGCTTCCTGATTGGTAGCTGGCCAATCAGGAAGTCAGGTGGTGAGTCATTACTCGCCCCCTGGCTTCCTGATAGCATGGAAACGGCTTCCCTGCTAATCGGGAAGCCGGGCAGCGAGTCCTTACACGCCGCCTGGCTTCCTGAATGGGACTTTCGGTATCGGTGAATATACCGAAAAAAATATCGGTAGGCATACTCGATACCAAAAAAACAGTATCGGTGCATCCCTAGTATGTATGTATGTATGTATATTTATATATATTGTATATCGTTGGAGCATTGTGAATTAGTTAGCGCAGCTTGAAGCAGACCCCGAAACGCGTTGGCTTTGCTAACAATTTATCATTGCAAAAAATGTATACTTGGAATTGACTATCACGTCTTTGGTGCTTCAATTTTGAATTCACTTAACTCTTTGCAGTATGGACGACTACCTACCATCATTAGAAGAAAAAGAGGACCAACATGACCAGATGATCGACCAGAACACGCTTTGATTTATTTAGAAGTGTAGATAAGAATCATAGCAATTTACAGATCTCCCTTAAGATGGCCATCATCCCGCAAAGCATTGCACTGACCAATCAAAATCTTCCAGTGTTTAGCCAGATGTAATCTCTTGCTGGACCTGCCTGTCTATGGCTCAGTGATATTGTATACAGATTATTATGACCACCTGGCGTTTGTAGGCAAATTAGCTATAATTTGGCGCTGAAGTTGCTAGAGGGCCAGACCATTATAAATAGGGAAGCAGGTTGTTTACCATGACAGTAGAAGTGATATGTTTCTGAAGATACGGGGAAACAACGCGATTTAACAGCCTTTGAACGTGGGATGATTGTTGGCGCTCGGAGCCATGGAGCGAGTATCAGCAAAACAGCAGAATTCGTTAAATGTTCAAGAGCAGCTGTTGTTAAAGAGTTTAAAGACCGGACTGTCAGCCGAAAATCTGGGTCTGAACGTGCGAATTGTGGCCGTCAGCGACTAGTCAATGTTAGGGCAGAACGGGGGAGGGGCAAGACTGGTACAAGACAACAGAAGGGCAACAGTGCCGTGTCACATTCCTCACACCACCTTTCATCATCTCGTGGAGTCACGAGGTGGCCTAACAAAGTACTGATGGGGTGGTCATAATAATCTGGCCACTCAGTGTATATAGTGTGAAGCTGGCGCAGCTCCCTCTGTATTGTGTCATACTGTCCATTTCTTTCTTTCACTTCTCCTTTCATTCTGTCCTATCACGGGGACTGGATGTCATTTTCCCTGAACTTGTCTCACTCCGGTCATCCGGATCCTCCTTCTCCTGACCTCCCTATGATTCATGGTCCCCTCTCTCCTCCCTGTCACATTCTCTCCTTCTCCCACTCTCTATAACAATCTCCCTCCTTCTCCCTCTCTCTGCCATTGTGAAGACAGAACTCCTGATCTGCACGTTTGGGTAAGTGACTCAGAAGACATTGCAGCCAGATAGTCAGCACAACATGTAACAGCCGGGCAACCGGCATTTTCAGAAATGACAGTGGCGCCCCCTGTATTTCTTTAAAGCCCAACTTCAACCATTTTTTTTTTAGTTTTGTACAGAAGGGAGGCCATTAAAGTCTCTGCCTAGTTTTATTGCAATGTGAATCCCCATTGGGGATATTTAGCCTTACTTCCTGTCCCGATCACAGGGTGTCACAAGGACAAGAAGTGATGGAGAGAAGGGCTGTGGAAAAAACTATTTTTAAAGTTAGAGATGTGAAGCATTACAGCATCTGTTCAGTTTGCATTGTTCTCTATATCTTCCTGTACCAGTGACACCACACTCTGTCATCTTATTCTGGTGTCACCAGGACAGGAAATCAGGGGAAGTCACGCCAATGCGGACACAGACAGCAGTATAAACTTGACAGTCATTCTGACTCTTGGGAACTTCACCTACAGAGCATAAAAAACAATTTCATGTTTTGCCTGGAGTTGGGTTCATACTACTCTATCCTAGCAGCCAGGGCCGGTGCTAGGATTTTTGCCTACACAGGCAAAGTTGCATTTTGGCAGTGGTCACCAAGTACAAATGAAAAAGGGGAATCTCCCCTAGGGGCACAGACAGCTATGGAACCAGACGGGGATTTAAAACTAAAAAGGCTTCAGCTAAAGATACCATGAATTGACTACTACTAATTGACTTCTACACTGGCCTCCAATTTAAGGGGCACTTCTACTCTGGCCACCAATGTAAGGGGCACTTCTACTCTGGCCTCCAATGTAAGGGGCACTTCTACTCTGGCCATCAATGTAAGGGGCACTTCTACTCTGGCCATCAATGTAAGGGGGACTTCTACTCTGGCCACCAATGTAAGGGGCACTTCTACTCTGGCCACCAATGTAAGGGGCACTTCTACTCTGGCCATCAATGTAAGGGGGACTTCTACTCTGGCCATCAATGTAAGGGGCACTTCTACTCTGGCCACCAATGTAAGGGTCACTTCTACTCTGTCCATCAATGTAAGGGGGACTTCTACTCTGACCATCAATGTAAAGGGCACTTCCACTCTGGCCACCAATGTAAGGGGCACTTCTACTCTGGCCATCAATGTAAGGGGCACTTCTACTCTGGCCACCAATTTAAGGGGCACTTCCACTCTGGCCATCAATGTAAGGGGGACTTCTACTCTGGCCACCAATGTAAGGGGCACTTCTACTCTGGCCATCAATGTAAGGGGGACTTCTACTCTGGCCACCAATGTAAGGGGCACTTCTACTCTGGCCATCAATGTAAGGGGGACTTCTACTCTGACCATCAATGTAAAGGGCACTTCTACTCTGACCATCAATGTAAAGGGCACTTCTACTCTGACCATTGATGTAAGGGGCACTTCTCCTCTGACCATCAATGTAAGTGGTGACTCTACTCTGGCCATCAATGTAAGGGGGCACCTCTACTCTGGCCATCGATGTAAGGGGCACTTCTACTCTGGCCATCGATGTAAGTGGTGACTTCTACTCTGACCATCAATGTAAGGGGGCACCTCTACACTGGCCATCAATGTAAGGGGCACCTCTACACTGGCCATCAATGTAAGGGGCAACTCTACACTGGCCATCAATGTAAGGGGCACTTCTACTCTGACCATCAATGTAAGGGGGCACCTCTACTCTGGCCGTCAATGTAAGGGGCGCTTCTACTCTGGCCATCAATGTAAGGGGCACTTCTACTCTGGCCATCAATGTAAGGGGCACTTCTACTCTGGCCATCAATGTAAGGGGGACTTCTCCTCTGTCCATCAATGTAAGTGGTGACTTCTACTCTGACCATCAATGTAATTGGCCATTAATATTTTTGCTTCATTTCCTGATTAGTATGTAAACCTCATAAATGCTTTATTCTTTTATTTGAACTCCTTACAGTCCCTGATCACACTAATGTACCATGAGCTGTAGGTCTAATCATTTCAGATGGGATTCCCTGAGACCTCAAAGCTCTTTCAAAGATTTCTCAATGGTAAAAAGGTTGAGAAACACTGCTATAAATAATAGATTCCTCTGCAGTTGCTGCTCCCTCTCTCTGTTTTGTGTTCTGCTAAAATCTGACTTTTTCTCTCCTTTGCCCTAATCATTCTTTCCTATGCCAAATTCAACATCCAAATCCTCCTGACCTCCCTATATGAGTCACCAGTCCCCTCTCTCCTCCCTGGCACATACTTCTCCCACTCCCTGCAACCATCTCTCTGCCTGCAGCCACCAATATCCCCATCCTCCCTCTTCTCTCCTGTCATCTCTACTCCTCTCTTCCTCTCATCTCCCTGTCCTTCTATTAAACATTATCCAGCCTGTAAGGGCAGAGTTCAGAGGGTGGGTGTGTGTCACGAATGGGACAGGCAGGGCAGGAGGAGGGTGTGTACGGTGCACCATGGAAAGTATACAGCTGGGGTGTGTATGGTGCTGCGCTACGGTCTAGGGTGTGTGCTTGCACTTTGAAGAACACTAGGAAATAGTTTTTTTTTCTGCACATAAGTGTGTGACAACAGATGTCATTGTTGGGTCTGGTGTGACGTGCCCAGTGTTGTGTAACTTCGTTTGGTGTTGGGTGACAGGCTGCCAGGTATCCAGGACTGTGTGCAGGGAGCATGGCAGTGTGTTGTGAGTGGCAGTGCTGTGTGTATAGGGGGTAATGAGAAGATTGGTGCTTGGTGTGTAGGAGGTGATTGGGGTGACTGATCAGAGCAAGCGCTGTACAGGTGTGCTCTGCAGTGGTGTGGTGTGGGTGCTCTGCGCTGGTGTGGTGTGGGTGCGCTCTGTGCTGGTGTAGTGTGGGTGCGCTCTGTGCTGGTGTAGTGTGGGTGCTCTGCGCTGGTGTGCTCTGGGTGCGCTCTGGTTGATGTGTGATCTCTGTTCCTCTAGATGGCGCTGCAGTGGATGGCAAAGGATCTCCCGTTATCACTGGATGACTTCATCCCTCGGCACCTGCAGAGGAAAGACAGGTCCACCCACCGTTACACAGAAGACCAGGTAAGGTTACACATTATGTAAAGCCTAAATGTAATTTCAGTATGTTTGGCATAACGACTGCCTGTATACAGTTTTCTTAAAGCGGACCTTCACCCATGAAAATTACTTTTATTCACCTGCCTCTTACCCCGTCCCTCTTACATAATTGTAGCAAAAATAATTTAATCAGTAAATATCATGTTTTAATTTTTTGCGGGGGGCCACTTCCTGACTCCTCGCCAAGGTGAGGAAGACATGGTCCTGCTTACTAACTAGGATGTCTACGCCACACAACTCAGGAGGCAGTTTGCAAGATCTTGCGCATGAACATATATATGCTGCGGGTACCCTGGCAGAGACCCATGGCGGTCTGCACATGTGCATACCCAAGATGGGGGGGTTTTCTCCTGGGCCACCCCACATCTTGAAGTGAAATCCCACACATGTACAGACACACCCTGGATCTCTGCCAGAGACCTAAGACCTGATAGAAACCCATGGTGGTCTGTGCATGTGCAGGATCTCGTTTCAAAATGGCGAGCCATGAGCAAAGCGGTGCAAGAAAAATATCTTCTGCAAGGAAAACTACGCTGGACCCCACTGACTAGTAAGAACTTTTTTTGGTTTTTTTTCCATGAAGGGGAATTTTTTAGAGATTTAAAATTTCATGTTGTCTAGGAAGCAAATCATTTTTGTGAATCTGTTGCAAATCTTTTTTCTACTAGAAGATTCTGCTGGCACCAGCACTTTCTGTTTCAGGCTGACATCGCTGCTGCTAAATGCAAAGAATCAGCTTAGTGTTGTCAGCCTGAAAAAGGAAGTGTTGTTAGGCCTCATTCACACTGCTAAGAGCCCACCCGTACAGATCCGTGCATTGTGCATGGTCGTATCGGGCTGCTCCTGGGAAGGACAGGTGCTGCGTGTGATTGTACGCAGCAGCCTGTTCTTCTCTATGGGAGTACGCGGCCGTACACTCACCCTAACTGCACATCCGTGCAGGTGCGGGATCCATCCTTTTGACGTACGAGAACGGACACCTGCCCCTGCACTGATGTGCAGCTTAGTCGAGCGTACGGCCACGTACTCCCATAGAGAAGGACAGACCGCTGCGTACATTCACACGCAGCACCTGTCCTTCCTGGGAACGGCCAGATTCAGCCGTGCACGCAGCACGGATCTGTACGGGCCGGCTCTTAGCAGTGTGAATGAGGCCTTATTGGCAGAAACTGCAGGTGAAAAAACTTTGCAACTGATTAAAAAAAAATGATTTCCCTAAGAAAACTGTATACATCAAGGCACGGTGCCAAACATACTAAGAGGTGCAGTAATGAAACAGGGAGCCTGGCAGATGGGAGAGGGAGCCCAACAAGCATCATGATTGAATCGGAAGCCATAGCCACGCTCCCTGGCAGCTTTCCAGGCACCAAGGACTGCTGCTGCGCTCTGTATTGCTGAGCCGACTTTGGTCCCCTCCATTGACATTGATAAGGATGCACAGGCACAGAGAAGCCACCCAATTTGTATTGTCGTACTGCCATGGCCACATCTGACACCAGCTACCTACAGGTGCATCTTTCCTTGTGAATTGACCGGAAGGTGCACATTGACCAATGGCACTATCAGTCCAGGAGGATAAGGTTGCAGGTGGACGCCCAAGACATCCACCAGACCCTAGGCTTCTGCATGTTGCCTTGTGGATAATCATGCTCTGCTGGAGTGACAAATCCTTGGTGCTGTAATGGGTACATGTCAACACTACCCTAAAATATCAAGAGCCTGTCTGACCCTTTCTGCCTCCTGCATTTTTCTATTGGCCCATAGGCCTAATGGCTACTATTAGGGTTGCACAGATACCAAGTACAGTACTCGGTACAAGTACCGATACTTTCCAGCTCCGAGACTAGACTAGAGAAAAATACAAAAATTAGGAGGCCGCTGTCATGTGTAAGGCGCACACGGAGCTCCTGGGATTTGTTCATCTCTGCTTTAATGTACGATTTTGTTTTTATAAATATAAATAAAGGGATGCACAGATACCAGTTTTGCGAGTACAAGTACTGGTACTTGCCGAGTACTTACAAGTACGAGTACTGATACATTTTGTTTATTGTCATGTGACAGTTTTTCTACAACAATACAGACTAATGATTTCAGGACAGTGGTGGAGCGCCAGAACCGGGTCCCAGATGCAACCGCTGCAACCCTGGTAGTTCTCGTGTAAATGCCAAGTATCGGCACTGGTACTTCGAAAAGTATCTGTGCATCCCTAGCTACTATGATGGGTGGACTTGCTGGCCAATAGGTTGCAGGGGGCTGGTTGGCTGTTAGCACTCCAGGGAAATGTCAACATTTTGCATATTAGCTCCTTCAGGGGCTCCTGTGACCCCTAAACAGACATCTAAAGCTTTGTATGTGTGTAGCAAGGTGCCTGCATTGCAGTCAGATTGGAATGCTTATATTACTGCCAGGTGCTTTAAACACCATGAAATGTATGTGTAGACAAACAGCTAAATATAGAGTTAAAGTACATATGCATGAACTGCCTTACCTGCCAAAATGTTTGTAACTCTATTCGGTCAGGTTTGTAATCTGGACTCTATACATCCCTGCCAGGCACTATGCATAGTCTGACCCATTTAATTTTCTCAGATGAAGTCAAGGCAATACTGCTTGGCCAAGACTGTGATTGGTTAGTGAAGGAGCAGTAGCTTGCTGATGAGGTCATCTCTCTCTCTCTGTTCTCTCCACCATGGAGCAAGCTTTATTTATTAGATTTACAGCACTGTTCAATGCAGTAAAGCCTGATAGTGCTGCTCCTCCCACTTTTGGTGTACTGGTGTACAAGGGATTACAGGAAGCAAGTAAGACTAAAGCAAATCAAAGTGCTATTCAAAATAAATAAAAAATAGAAGTTACATTTACTCATAAATCATTCCAGCCCCTCTAAAACATTCAGTTGTGTTATTGCCCTCCCTCCCCCCGCCCCTGCGCTGCCCATACTTACCTTTTCCAAAGGCTGCAGCCTCCTGCATTGTCTACAGCCTGACCAGTTCTAGTGCCAGGCTGCTTGTGCATTAATATCTCTTAGACTTGAGTGGGCCATGCCTGTAATGCAGGAGCAACATCCTATTCAAGTCTATGGGATATTAGTACGCAGGGGTGGGCTGTCCGGCACTAGATTTTTACCAGCTGTGCTGCAGACAGTGCAGGAGTCCGCAGCGATCAGAGGAGGTAAGTATGGACCTGTGGGAGCAAATGGGGCAGCTGATCATATGATTGTATAGAGGAGTCTAGGGAAGGATGCTTTTTTTTTTTTTAGTAAATAGGAGCTTGTACTTTTAAGGGATTGATTTATAAATAAGCAAAATTTCAGAAATGTCACCAGCACACCAGTCCTTTTAGGATAGCAAAAGCTTCATTTATTTAAGTTCTTTTGTCATATGACCAACATGATTTATAAATCATTTGCACAGTAAACAGCTGTGCAAAAGAGATCCACAGTGTTACATGGCCACTAGATGAAGCCGGGGATCATGGGTTGTTCCTATGCACCTTGACTCCATCTAGTGGCCCTATAGCCCTGAGAATCTCGTTCACACAGCTGCTCATTGTGCGAGTGCTTTATAAATCAACCCCTCTTCATCTTTTTAGTGAATGCATACGTTGAATAAATGGGGAATAAATGGGGATCACTTGTATCTCTACACAAGTACTTAATAATTAATTGAAGAAATGCTGGCCTGGATCCTTATTTCCCTACTGTTACAAACGTTGCATAGATCCCAAAATGATTCATAATACCCTGAATGTCACATTGAATGGGGTTTATTTGCAATGAAGTTAAAGGCCGACAGGCCAACATCTGGAGGAGAGATCAAAAAGCTTGAGGGTAAGGCTGTTGGTGTGGTTTGTGAAGTGACTGACTGAAGCAGCATGGGGCTTGTCACACATCTGTATAGTGTGCTGGTGGAAGTCTAGAAATTCAATGGAAGCAATCGCGCCTGGATACTCATGAGTTCTGCATGTTGTTGTTCTCCTTATCATCATAAACTCTGCTTTATGCCACGTGTCTGGAAGTTTTAGGTTTAGCCTTATGTGTGTATTGCTGACAGCTCAGGCTTCCTGACACTTTAGAAATCTTACAAGAAGAAGATGGGCTCTGAAGTAGCATATGCAAGACCTAAATTGTTTCTTACACCTGGATGTCATCAAACAGGGGATCTCTGACGATGACGGCCATTTATACAAGGCCACGATGGTAGTCACTTCTGAAGACACATGCGACAGCCCCAGTCCGCGTACGCAGAGGCGGTTGATCCGTTATGAAGGCATTGGGCCGACAGATGAAGACGGAATGCCCTTCGCTTCCAGATCTGTGAGTGTAAAGTGTGTGTGAAGAGCAATTGCACATACGGTGTGCACCTTACCTTTCTGTATTTGATCTTCACAAATTCCCTGATGAAGCCAATGTGTTGGTGAAGCTTGTTAGGTGTTTCATTTTTTTTTTACCCCTGGGTTTAGGGCAGGAGTGGGCAAGCTCCGACCTTCTAGCTGTGGTGCAACTACAATTCTCATTGCAAGATTCTGACAGCCACAGGTGTGACTCCCAGAGGCAGATGCATGATGGTATTTGTAGGTTCACCATAGCTGCAGTATGCCTACTCCTGGTTTAAGGTTTGGGCACTATAACAAAAATATATTGCTACAAAGCCGAATGCTTCTGAATTCCAGAAGATCAGATGTTATTAAGAGATGGATGTATCTCCTGCCGGATGGAGACTCCGCCATTGGCGCATTTTGCCCTCAATGGGGCTCAGTCATAGAGGTATCCTTTAAACATCTGATCTTCTGGAATTCAGTGCTGTGTGGCTTGCTTCCTTTGTTGCTGTGGACTTGGATGTCGGACTGATCCTTAAAAACCAGAGCACTTAAAGTCCATTTCCACCTTTGAAATGGATTTGCATTTATTGTGGTAATGAAGAGGTGCACTGATGATGTATACGTGTGCACATTTTCATGACTCACATTGCACGCTTTCCCCGTTTTTTCAATGAACCATTTATTAGGCCTTTAGCCTAAACATTCAAAATTTTCTCCACAGGAAAATCAGACAGACACCAGGGTCGGATGGTAATTAGGCTTTAAACAGCTCCCCCCTCGCTGTTATTTATTGTAGCATTATCAGTAAACAAGAGGAAGGAAGGATTTGCAAAACACAGACAGACATTTTTACATGAGGAGATGAAGAGGAAAGTTAACAAAAATAGTAAGTTTGTGGGTTCTTACACAGCAGCTGCATATGCCTGTTTCATGTACACTCGGTGCACATTGCTGGCATATGTTTTTAAAAAAAAATACCTCTGCAAAGGTGGAAATGGGCTTTAAGGCCAGTTTATGCGCTGAATATTAGACATGTGCACTGCCAAAAAATTTGTTTAGTTTCATTTTGTTTTAAATTCGGATTTGTGTTATTTCGGGATTCGGGTGCGAAAGCCAATTCGGATTCGGACGAAATTTGTTAGCGGTAGTTCGTTCGAACGTTCGTTTCGTTTTCGTTTCTTATTCGCTTCGTTCATTCGTTCGTTCGTTTGCAGCAAAGTGCCATTTGAGGGGGAAAAATGTTTTTCTTCAACGAACGAAACGAATAAGAAACGAAAACGAAACGAACGTTCGAACGAACTACCGCTACCAAATTTCGGAAACGGAAATTCGGATTCGTTTGCATTCGTTATATCTATAATTCAGAATTCGGATACATCCGAATGTCCGAATTTCTGAAAATTCGTACGAATTTCGATTCGGAACGAAACGAATCGCACATGTCTACTGAATATGAGTCTTGAGTTGTACTTTTGGCTGACAATCGGGAACATTTATTGTTGCACTTACCTGGTGAGAAAATAAAAAGAAAGCCGTTCTATAGACTAGATAACAAAAGGAAAAAGACAGAAAAAGATTTACCGTACATTGAACTCTATTTGTCTCTCCCCTCTGTATTATATCTCTATATTCCCTTCTAGATGATCCAAGGTAGAGGATCAGTCTGAGTAGAAATATATCATTGAGTTCTTTATAGAGAATCTATAAGTTGCCTTTCATATAAAGGTTACATTTTACATAGTGCAGAGTATGACTTGGGAGCTGCAGGTACCTTCTGATATAACAATTGCTTCATTTCCCATAGGACAATCAAGACTTTCTAGTGCTTGAATTTGTAATGTATCTCCTAACTCAGACCTTGGTGTTATAGAAAGCTGTGAGACCCCCTTGTCTTAAAGAGGAGGATGTCTCTTTTTGGTTTCTGGAATCTATGTGGTTTCAAACTTCTTTGGCTGTATTAAAATATGTACAAAAACATGTTCTATTGTTAACTATAATCTGTCCAGAACCCCTCATGATCCGAGATGCACAACATATTTAAAATATTAGACACCCTTACAAAGTGCAATTTAATAAATCTGTAACCAATAAGTCTTTTGTTAAAAAAAAAGTAGGGGGCACCCAATCCTATGATCACTTCCAGGGGCTTAGTTACTGTATATCTGAGGGAAAGCTCTGTGGTAAGTGCACCTATGTTACATATACAGTTTATGGGTCACTGTCATAGGTAATAGGCAGACTTAAACATGAACCAATGATGCAACCTACTCTACAGTCACTATGCAACATAACACCAAATCCCTAGAATGGTTTAAAGTTCTAAAGTATTGTACTGTATTTCTGCAGTGAAAGGAGACTCCTCGTTGCCTGTGATTTTAATACCTCCAAGTGCATTGGACAAAAGTGTTTGCCAGAGGGATCATGGATCTTGATGGTTGATTTAAGTGACAATGCTCTGAACCCATCATAGCTGCATCTACCTTCCAAGGTTTGATGAGCACTGATCATAATATCCATTAGTACAGATACCTTCCAGATGTTAATATGATTTTGGTGGACATGGTTGTATACTGTGCCTAGAAGCCCTGGGTACACACCTCAGCAGGGCTGGATTTCCCACAAGGTCACCAAGGCCCGGCCTCGGGGTAGCAGGGAGTAGAGGGGCAGCAAGGGTGTGGAATTCCTATCGCCTGGGTGGGTAGACCGCTCTCCCCGCCGGACGCCTCTTTCCAGAGATGCAGATCCTCTCTTCAGGATGGAGAGCTGGGAGCAGAGCAGAGAACGTCCATTCTCTACTCTGCTCTGTGTGAACACTGAGATGGGAAAGATGCACTCGCAGCCTCCCCATCTCAGCTGTCACAGGAGAGCCAGCACAGTACTGTGCTCAAACTCCTGCAATGGAAGTGACAGATTCGGTTAGCCCCTGTGTGGTAGCAATGAAGTTAAGTGAAAAAATAAATACATAAATAAAAAAAATTGATAAAAAATTATTAAATAAAATAAAAAAAGTAAAAAATAATACGATAAATACATTTTCAAAAAATAAAAAGTAAATAAATATTTTAAAAAGTAAAACAAATGATAAAAATAAAAAATAAAATAAAAACCAACCCTGCCGTCCCCACATCTGGTTGCCATTCTCCATTAAAGGGGGGTATGACGGGGAGGGTGCAAATTTGAGGAACCTGGCCTTGGGGCAGCAGAGAGTAAATCTGGCCCTGCACCTCAGAAGACTGACTGTCAACGAGTGGAGGACCTAAGTGAATTCATCCATAGAAGTCCTAGATAAATACATGACAGCAAAAGCTCCAACAATATACAGGTATAGTCCTTTGAACACCCCCCGAAATATCTCAACGTCCATCAGTTTTTTCAACCACAAGACTTTTTCTATCTCTCGCAGACGTAATTAGGAGGATCTTCCTAGCTCTGTCCCTGCCTGTCTTTTAATTTGTGGGCATTCCCCCTACAAAGTGGTACTTCAAGCCCTCTCATTGCATTCCCCGCAAAATAAAAATTCAACAGGGATTTTTGCAACTTCGATATTAGCTGCTCTGACCTGTATATGGAAGCCCATAGATCTTACTACATGGGCCTGTGAGATGTATTAGGTGATTTACCTCTCCATCATCTGCCAAAAATTGAAAGAACAGGTTTGCTTGTATTGGCAATTTCATAAATGAGGTTTGTGTCCAGCAAGTCCTGTAATATAACTTTAGAACAGATGGCACTGTTAATTCTACGAAATATGTAGGGTGCCAACATGGCCAGTAACCCATCCCCATTTTGTTTGTTTTTCCAGAGCGTGGACAAACCTCGAGAATGGTACAAGAACATGTTCAGGGTTCTCCATCCGCTGTCAGGTAAGTGGCCCCTAGCACTAAATAAGGAAGTGTTTGACTCAATACTAGCTGTGGTGTTTGCATGAAGGTCAGTATGAAACTATGTTTTTTTCAGATGCTGAGGACAGTGACAGTGAGGGGTCCATCCAGGCTGAAGACAAGTCACAGTCCCGCTATGTGACTTCAGTTTCTGGGTAAATATTGAATTGGATCTGTGATTCTTGGACTGCATGTGTCGATTTTTTTTTCTCATTTTGGGTTTCAGATATGAGATCGGGGAAACAATGTATTTTTTTCCTGTATGATTGGTGGTACCACCCATCATCTCCCTACAGCACCATTCAAATACTATATAGCTAACGTTTGTGTACACCTGACTGTGGAACCTGTATGAGCTTAGTGGACATCTAATTCCAAAACCATCAGCATTAATAAGACGATGTCCTTCCGACCCTCACAGCTATAATACCCCATTCACACTGAGCGACATGAAAGATCGTGGGTTTTTCCATGCAATTTCGAGCTGAGCTACATTGCACATTTTTTCACGCTACGTAGCGCGACTTTTGGGAGGGACTTTGTCGCTGCTACATTGGGCTGTAACCAATCAAAAGCGGTCTTGATGTGACATCATTCCTTCCTTCCATATTGCTGTGCAAAACTGACACTTCTGTAGCGCGATATCGCGTGACAATGTCGTGCAATATCGCAACACCATTGAGTCTATTGGGGCCAAAACAAGCGACTTCCGCCAAAAAATAGGTCATGTTCAAGCTACAACCTTCAGCGACGAGCTACAGGCGACATTGAGCTGTGAGATGTGAACAGCTCCACTGAAATGCATTGGACAAGCTACATTAAGCGGCATTGCACGGAAATATGCGCGATTTCGGAGCGGAAATCGCGAGATAAACCGCTCAGTGTGAACGGGGTCTAACATCTTCCACTCTTCTGGGAAGGCACAAGATTTAAAGTGTGTCTGTGGGAAATAGTTGCCCATTTACCAAAAAGAGCCTTTGTGAGGTAATAAACTGATGTTGGTGAGACGTCCTGGCTTGTAATCAGTATTCCAGTTCATCCTAAAGGTGTTCCATAGGGTTGAGGTCAGGGCTCTGTGCAGGCCACTTGAGTCCTTCCACACCAAAATATGTCAAAACATGTCTTTATGGACCTCCCATGCTGGAATCGGAAAGGGCCTTCCTTACACTGTTTCCACAAAGCTAAATTTGACTAGCACAATTGTCTACAATGTCTTGGCATGCTGTAGCATTAGCAGTACCCTCCACTGGAAACACCCAGATTCAGTATTTGGGGGGATGTCTACATACTTTTGGGTAGAAGCTGTGATGGCCAGGCATCCACAAACCTTTGACCATAAAGTGTATATCCCCCTTAGAACTGTTTGGCGTGTGACTGATATACAATTCTTTTTAGAAATGCAATGCCCTTCTATTGATACCACTGCAGTAAAATGTTATCGCCTGATTATACTACATCACCCATCTCTCAAATTACATTTATTAATTTATATTAATTAATATCTATATTTTTTTCTCTACAGATATATAAATAAAGAACAGGACAGCGAACCAGAGCAGGATGATCAGCCCAGAAGAAGTAAAGAATCCAACCACCTGCACATAACACTGAAGCCTACAGTCAGTGAGTCACCAAGAAAGTTAAGCAGCCCCTCCAAAGTTGAGACATCTGTAGGCCCATCCAGCTCGTTCCGCTCCACTGGACATTCTCATTTTTCATTGAATAAATCAGCAGAAGAACAGCGATCTCCACCCAGCAAGTCCATAGAGCCACAGTTTACCCGTCGCTCCACTGGCACATACTCAACAGTCTCTACCTCCAAACAGCCTCAACAAACACAGGCAACTCACCACCACAAATATCAGCCAAGTCCAGAACTGGCCTCGCCTAATTCAGTGTCTTCTTCTAGACTATCCTACAGATCGCGAGTGTCTGACTTTCCTAATACTCCATCACTCAATGCCAGCAAGGGGACATCTTCTCCAAAAAGTCCCCATGATAAGGATAAGCACCCCTCTTTCAGAGCCAACTCTTCAGTCGTAAGCACTTTAAGGTCCACATCGAGAGACAGCAGAAAAAACGGCACCAAAGTGTTGGTAAGTGGTCACTGAGTTCAATGTAAACCATGTCATTCCTCTAGCTATTCCATTGCTACTATTGGGCCTGTATATAGAGGCTACTGTAAGCTCTTTATATCCCCCTCTCACATGTCACCAATCTTCAAGGCTAGTGCAGACTTGGGCGATCCCAGGACGCGCGCCCCGTGTGTGGTTGCCGCGTGGCCGCCTTGATTTCAATCTGGTTACAACTGCAATTGTGCGCAATTGCACAGGCGAAATTCGCAGCGGGAAACCGCGCGATGTGCCTGGTGCGACTGGGGTGACATTAGCAAATCCTGATCCTGCAGTTCCAGTGCTCACCTGCAGGTGTCTGCCAGTATTAGTCACCACCTGGTGCTGCTCTGGGAGGGTATTTAACCTCTCCCTGCTGTGAAGCCTGTGCTTCAGTATTGTTGCCATATCCTGTAAACCAGTATCCTGTTTCTGCCTTGGACCCTGACTTCTGACCCTTACCCCTGAGGTCTCCCGATCTGTGGCTCCCGGCCCTCCTCTTGTTGCCCTGCTCCCCAGGTTATGACCAGCCCTGTTATCTTCTGTGGGTGATTTGCCGTTTGTATATAGTGTGGCTCCTATCTGTTTCTTGCGGGTGGTGGTGGAATTGCCTGTGCTTATGTGGTTTGATATATCTATTAAACTATCATTCACAAAGATTGTTGTGGTATCTGCAGTGCGGTCACATATTCGGTTCACCTGTATAGGTACCAGCACGTGGCTTTGGGACACCCGTGCTCGGTATCTTGACACATTATTGTATCTATTGCAGCAACTCCTGCAGTATACATTTTCGGTCAGTAGATGGCAGTGTTTATAAGTTCTGTTATATCTATGGTATATACTCTGTTGTATTGAAAAAGGTAGTGAATAAAGCTGCGGCTTCCTTCCTGTTTTCAAGCCATGTGCAGCATGCATATCAGACTGTGTGCTTGTGTTTCTCTGTGAGGCTGTGCAAGAAGTTCCAACACATTGCGAGTCTGAGACCGGCATGGTGGGTCTCTGCACTGCGATTGGAGGCAGAACAGCACACTTCCAGCTGCTGATCTCCCCTCTGATCATTGAATGTGGAACTGATGTACATTACATCAGTTCTAGTTTCAGCCTGTCATTTCCCCGGCTGCTGTAGACGGAGAAGAAAATGATGAAGCAGATCTGTGATCACTGATCAATGGACTTGCATAAGGCTTGATGACGTCAGAGTTTCTTAGACTACCAGAGCCCCGGGGAGAAGAGGCTGCAGGGACCGGGCTAGCTGCCCGGAGGGAGCCGACAGGACTAAAGGTACCCATACACCTTGCGATTATCGTACGATAAATCACAGGAAATCCCGCGATCGTACGATAGTCGCAAGGTGTATGGAAGGCGTGCGACCTCTGCTACTGCAAGGTCGCACGACTTTTGTCTTACAAGCATGTTCCCAAACCCGCCGAGAATCGTACGATTGTCGGCGGGTTTGTGGCATGCTCGTAAGACAAATGCCGAACGGGCCGGTGTGCGCAAGCGCACACTGCCCATTCACCATTGCTGTCATGGGAAGCCCGCCCCTCAGTGGGGCGGGCTTGCGATGATTGCAAGTACGATCTGCCTGTCCAAGATGGGCAGATCGTACGTTTTTTTAATTACCTTACAAACATCGCAAGACAAAAGTCTTGCGATGGTTGTAAGGTCTATGGCCACCTTTAGGATCAGGTGAGTAATAAAGCTTTAATTGAGTCCCCTAGACATATTGAGCACTTAACTCTTACAAGTTTTTTCGTTTTTTCTTTGAATTTAAAAATGCCACGGGTACACTTTAATTAAACACCAACCCCGTCCTTAAGAAAGTTCACCCCAATGTCAAGTGACTTTGAGTTGTTAGTGCCGTAGTCTTTGTAGCCTCTTGCTTCCTTAGGTGCCTTCTTATCTATTATTTCCATGAATACTGGTATATTCCTCTGCTGAGTAAGTACAAATGGTCACATTGGTCCCTATTCTAAGGCAAGTAACCATCTCATGTTTTTTTACAGAGTCAGACACCTAGCAGGAACTGTAGACGTAAAACAGGGCCTAAGCATGGCCAACTAAGTCACTGAGCCGCCATATTGTTTCTGTACATATATAATATAGACATTCGTATTTATGTCCTTTCTCCTCATTACCCGACAGGACCAGCTGGAGACGGAGCTGCGTGAGTTCACCGAGGAGCTGGACAGAGATATGAAGGCTCGGAAACGCACAGAGAGCCTGGAGGTGTGTGAGGTGAGAAAAAGAACAAGGACACCTAACCCTTTGTAGCTCGAAGGCTGGTGCTCCATGAACCAAATTTGAACAGGCTAAGAGGGGGGCAACACTAAAGCACAATCCGTGGTATTCATAAAGAGTGGAGCAGACCTATTTAGAAGAGTATCTGTGCCACTGTACGACAAATGTCGGTGATTGGGCCACATTTCTGCCATGTTACAAAGATGAGCCAGAATTGGCACAAACTACACCTTGAGTGATTTAGGCCAATTCGGTTGAACTTTTGCTAGGATGCAGGCTAGTGGCCCAACCTGCATCCAAGCAACCAATGATGCTGTGCTGCTGACAGCGTCCTAGCAACCAATGATGCTGTGCTGCTGACAGCGTCCTAGCAACCAATGATGATGTGCTGCTGACAGCGTCCTCGCAACCAATGATGCTGTGCTGCTGACAGCGTCCTAGCAACCAATGATGCTGTGCTGCTGATAGCGTCCTAGCAAACAATGATGCTGTGCTGTTGACAGCGTCCTAGCAACCAATGATGCTGTGCTTCTGCACCAGGTTGATGGCCCAACCTGCATCCTAGCAACCAATGATGCTGTGCTGCTGACAGCATCCTAGCAACCAATTATATTGTGCTGCTGACAGCATCCTATCAACCAATGATGCTGTGCTTCTGACAGCATCCTAGCAACCAATTGTCCTGTCGAATAGATAAGAAATTTAGGAAGCAGTGTTTAGATCTAAACATAACCTACTACAGTTTTAGAGGTATAACAAGCCTATGTAAAAGACGTTTACTGTTTTTGGGTTCCACTGCCGGGCAGCCTATGTAAGATATCAGTCTGTGTTGCTAGCTGCAGCTCTAGCCTTCAGCTGTGTGGCATTGAATCTGGCCACAGTGTTTTGTAGCCTGTGTGCTGGCTGCAGTTTTGCGCCTCAGCTGTGGATTAATGTATCTGCCTCACGCCCCCAGCTGAGATTTGCCTGTGACGCTGGAGGCGCTCTATTTAACCCTTTCGCTGCAACGGACATATCTCATACGTTGGCGGCAGCGGGCCCCTTTAAACATACTCCCGGCGGCTATAGCTATATTTACATGTGTAAAGCTGGCTGGAAATGATTCTGGCAGCTTAGCTGCCACCCCCACCTTGACTTTTTAACTCCCTCGCCCTCTTGTTAACAAGCTTCATGTGCACCTACATACAAAAGGGACGATCACATGCTACACACGCTACACATGATGGGTATTGCCGCGTGCGCCAGAGTGCAATCAATAGTTCCAGGGCCAATACTAATGGATACGTTTAAACGGATGGCCTATGGGGTGCCCTATTTTGTCGCCATTTGACGGAAGCATGGGCATGTTGGGTGTCTATTTACTCGTCATCGTCACTTTATATATTTCCCAAAATAAATATGTTTATACCCCATAAAAAAGTGTTTTTGGGTATCAAAATTGATATAAATGCATTTTTTACAAAATTTTGGGGGCTTGACAAAGTTAATGTAGTGAGACATCAAAAGTGACAACTGCCGCCATTTTATTCTACAGGGTCTTTGCTTTCAGAAAATATATAATGTTTGGGGGTTTTAAGTGATTTTCAGGCCTAAAACGTGGATTATATCATGTGTGCAAAAAAGCAAAAGGGTTAAACATCGTCAGCTTGTGCCTCAGTGATTGCGATAGCATTTCCTGGCTGATCCATGTGCGCTCCCGTATGTTTTGATCATGGACAGACCCTGGCTACGTTTTTCGGATTCTCGCTTGTCTGCTACCTGCCCTGACCTCTTGTTACGATTACAGGATACTCCGTTGCTTGCTGCCAGCCCTGACCTTTCGCTACGTTTCCTGGATTCGTCTTCAGCTCTCACCTTCCACTGCCCTACAATTTGTTTACTCTTCGTAGTGACATCCATGGTCAGAGTATATAGGTTAAGTCCTGGGGGCATCTGAGTACCTGTAGGCACACTAGTCTTAACCACTTGCTGACCGGGGTGTTATTCCCCCTTCCTGGCCAGGCCATTTCTCAGTATTCAGCATGCATTCCGTCATGCAGCGCTGTACTGAAATTAATTTTATATAATTTTTTGGGGACAGATCAAGCTTTCTTTTTGAAGTATTTAATCACCACGGGGGGTTATTTTTTACTGTATAAAAAAAATTACCAAAAAGTTTGAAAGAAACAAACAATTTTCCCTACATTATGTTATGAAACATTTATTATTACCCAATTTTTGGTCAAATATAAAAGATGGAGTCATGTTGGTCAACATGCCAACTATTAGAATTGAGCACACCTGCGAAATCGGAAAAAACGATCATATCCAAAATTGCCCATAGGCAACACTTTAAAAGCTTTTACCGCTCATCAGTTTAGTGTTATCAGTGATTGATGGACCCAAAATTATTGCTAGCACTCTGACGTTCGCAGTGATATGTAACATGTGCGGCGTAATGGGCACAAGCATTGGTTTAGCACGTAGGCGCACCCGACACATGTTTGCGTGTGTATGTGGGGGCAGGGAACTTTCATTTTTTTTTTTATGTGCAACTTAAATTGTTTTTTACATTTTAATTTTCTAAACTTTTTTTTATACTTAACTTTATTGTTATCACATAGGGGGCTAAGAAGCTAAGAAGACCCCTATGTGATAGCACACATACAGTGACAGGTTCTCTTTATGGAGACATCAGGGGTCTTTAAGACCCTTAATGTCACCTATGGACCCCCAAAGAAGCTGATGAAGCACAGACCTGCTTCACCAGCTTGTCTCTAGTTTCTGTAGCTGAAGAGTGAAGGAGCCGCCTTGCCGTTTTACATAATGACAGCCTCCTGCTGGGGGCCTGGGATTGGCGGCGGAAGGGGCGGGGATGTGCACGTAGCTGCACGAAATTCAAGCGATTGGGCGTCTCTACAGCTGCCCGAACGCTTGCATGTAAACAGCCATTTCTGTGTCAGGAACCGGGTCTGAACCCAGCGCCTCTGCTGTAGCTGGAGGTGGTTCTTCCTGCTGAGCCACCTAAGAACCTTGGATAGCTCCTTGCCTGATCTCCTGTGTATCCTCAGTTATACCTAATCAGATGCTGAACTCTGACCTCCTTGCTCCTCCCTTGAACTTCCTATTTAAGCCACGCCTCTGCACTTCCTCTTTGCCAGATGATTGTGCTCCTGCCATTATCTTGCTCCCTGCTCCCTCTGTGCTACAATCTACTTATTCTGCTTCCCGTGTACCGACCCTTGGCTGCTGATTCACTGACTACTCTCTCCGTCTCCTGCTACATACCTGATACCTTTGGCTCCTGACCTCGGCCTGTTCACTGACTACGCTTCTGCCTGCTCCTCCACCACTACCCTCTGCTTGTGTACCGAGCCCGGCCTGTTGTACTACAAATTGCCTGCTGCTTCAGCTGCTGGACTCTGAGCCTGATCCCAGATCGTGACATTCTGGCTGTTTCAAATAATCACAGTTTCCCTCTTGTGCGCATCATGTTTTAAAACGCCCACACGCATCTGGGAAGCTCCCGTCCAGCTGTTTTGTATATGACCGCCAGATGGGAAGCGGTTAAAGAGGAACTTTACCAAAATCTTTAAAATAACAACAAACACACCTTTTAGAAATGTTTAGTGATGACAATCTACAAACACATACTTCTAGATAATTGCCGGCTTTGTATTGTTTACATACCTTATTTTTCTTTTCCTCCCCAGTCTTCTGACAGCGTCCATGTTTAGTAAGGGCAGATTACTAGCCATCCCTTTTACTTCCTGGAACTATGGCACATGTGACTAGGACATGTGACCATGCACATCATCTCAGGGGAGGAAAATGCCTTTCCCTGAGATCTCATGAGATTACAGATGAGATTTCCCAGCAATGCTTTGCTGATGTAAACTTCCCAGCATGCAACGATTGGGCATAATTACATCACTAATACCCAAGAGGACCGGGAAGTAGATAAACTCTATTTGTAAGTAACTAATGAATGTAAAATGATTGTATATCAGCATGCAGAGCTGCACACTGATGTTATTTTTAGTGAAAGGGGGTAAAGGTCCATTTAAAGGAAAAGGCGACTGCTATGGGTGAAAAGCAACATCCCTCTATACTTGGACTGGGGTGTTTGCATACGTGACCTTACATCCACGTGGCTCTAAAAGTGCCTGCGCCTCAGAAATGTCATAACATGCATTATGCCCGTGTGACTCCCCCTCCTCCTGTGCACTTCGCTGCAGTCAGCTCTGAGTCATGCACAGGGCCGGATTTACTCTCCCCTGCCACCCCAAGGCCAGGTTCCGCGATACGCCCCCCCTTCCCATTCATGGAAAATGGCAACCAGATGGCAGGGCGGCGGGGTTAGTTTAAATTTTTTTTTTACTGTTTCTTTATTTTTTTAACTTTTTAATCACTTTTTATTTTTTTATTTAATTCTTCTTATTTTTATTTATTTAATTATTTTTTGATCAATTTAAATTTTTTTAGATTTTTATTTATCTTATTTACTTGTTTATAATTTTTTAATCTTATTATTGTTTATTTTTTATAATTCTTTTCTTATTTTTTCATAATTTGTTTCTTATTTTTTACTTTTTAATCCACCTTTTTATTTTTTTTTATTTAATTATTTCGTATTATTTTTTTTACATTTTGATCAGCGCTAAAAAACGCCCAGGTATGAACCCAGCCTAAACTGCTAAATCTACTGCTAGTTACACAAAAATTACACTTTGCACCATCCCAACCCAACACAACATGCAATCCCTTTTTAAATATTTTCATTTATTTATTTCTTATTTTGTTTATATTTACCTTTTTGTTACTTTACTCCCATTCAACCCACCATCTGCCTCCATTCACATCTAGGCAAAATTATAATTATTATTATACAGGATTTATATAGCGCCAATAGTTTGTGCAGCACTTTACAATACAAGGAAGACATTACAATCACAATACAATTCAAGACAAGATGGTAAGGAGGGCCCTGCCCCTGAGGGCTTACAATCTAATAAGGA